GGAAAAGTCACGACGCATTTTTGCAACGAAAAACAGAAAAAATACGTCATGACTTTTCCGACAACCCAATAGAACTGAATCTCCAGCTGATGTCTCTATACAAAGTCCCAAGCCTCTGCCCCGGGAAACCCCTGCCAAGCAGCTGATGTCAGCTCAGGTTCTCAGTGTTTCTAAAAGGAGGGGGGATGGGGGCGAATCCACATTGTACTAAAAATGTGCAAGTTGAAGCCGTAACTCATAAAGCATTTGAATAACCCATTCATTTTTAATTCTTCTGTAATTTCTGTGATAATTTTAAATACGATGAACTCATCTGACATAGTAAGAGGAGCACAGGAACTTTTCCAGGAGTCCCACTGCAATTCATCACTAGCGGGAGGCATGTGCAAATATTTCGCAGCTCCCACTATCTGCCTGGAAGAGCAGGCTTGAAGCCATTCCATTTGCCTACTGGTGTGCGTACCCCTTTAATCACCAAAGATGACAGCCCCTGTGTGTGTGCCCCGGTGACCTAGTTTAATAAAATCTGGCCTCTCCTCAAACAGAACTAAGGTTTAATTCCTTGCTAGAGAGGCCAGGTAACAGTATGCAGCCACCAGGATGAGAGAGCAATGCGTGGGAAACTGTGTCAGCTTAGGCTCCATTTAAAAACAGACAACAAAGAAGCCCGTGTGGTTTCTATTGTCTGGCCAGGATCATCTCTGTGACATTTATTGTCTCTGCCTGTCACCCCCGACTCCACCCCCAGCAACCGATTTCGTACAATTCTGGGATCTGTGGATTTAAATAGCACAATGCATTTGGCCTCTTTTTCTCCTATGTTTTCCACCCAAGGAAAAGAAGGTTTGGGGGAAATATTAACCTCACCCTCCCTGAGACGCTGGTGCTTCTCATCTACTCCCAACGATAATTTTAAAGCAGAAAGTATGTAAGACACACACACACTGCTGAATTTCTTCACATACTCAAAATCTGAGGCTATTTTGGCCCTATTTGACATTTCGATATTTCAGAATCACAGGACCTTCATTGGTGGAAACAAACAAACAAACACATATAGTCCTTTAAAAATCTCTAAGGTCTCTGGGAAACAAATTGTAAGCGACAATGCCTGTGCATCTTATCTTGTGGTACAAATTTATTTCTCAGGTTCCTCTGGCCTTGTTCAACTGGTGCCCTCTAATGACAAAATTATCTGCTCAATTTTAAAGCAGTTCTGTTAAGGAAGCCACCAGGCTTCAGATTACGGGGGATAAGGCCGGCTAATCTAACACACATAGAATTCGAGAAATGACCAAGACTTTTAAGGGAAAGGATCGAGTCCAGTGTCCAAAGGGGCAGTAACACCTAATGGGTAAGGGCATGGCTGGCTCCAAGCAGCAGCTCCACCCTTCACTTATGAGCTGAAAAAAGAGGGTGACGGCAGCACCCAGCTCACAGGGTGTTTAGGGAGCAAAGAGGTGATGAATATGATCGGCTGAGCACAGCCCTGACGTGCGTAAACACTCACTACATGGCAGATATTATCAGCACGGACACACTGTCAGGCCACTCCATCATGCATTAGGTACATACACCTGTCTAACAACCCCCACAAGGTGATAATCCAATCACTTCCCTTTTTGAAAAGTACTCTTTATGGCTAAATCTCTGAATAAGTACATCTTTACACCATCAGCACAAAGGATCTCTTATTAAAAATAATCAATACAACTATTTGGATTATATAGTCAGAAAATATTTCAATCCAAAAATTATGACGATTACTGACAGTGAGAATGCTAAGTTGTTGTTAAATGTCATTCTGTTTCATTTTACCATTATTAAGCTAGTGTTTTTGCAAATATTTCCTAGTAGCAAATGTCATTCTCTCTCCTGAGAAGGAAAAATGGAACACAGAATCATTAGCTCAATATCACAGGTGCCAAACATTACACCGAAGACATCTTTATATTTTCACTCTTTCCCCAGTATTCCAAAGGCAAAGAAAAGAAAAATCAGACATAATATGCAAACAAAGTGAAACAGACAGCTAAGCAATCATCCAGAGGGGAACGGACTCACATAAGCCCCCAATCCTCCTTCCCCTTTTCCTCTGCCCCTCCCTTTAACTCATTACACACACACACACACACGCACACGCACACATGCGCACACGCACACGCATGCACACACATACACACGCGCATGCGCACACACATACACATATGCACACACATACACACGCACACACATGCACACACGCGCGTGTGCACGCACACATGCACACGTGCACACACACATGCACACGCACGTGCACACGTGCACATGCACACACGTGTGTGCGCGCACACACATACACACACGCACGCGCATGACACACACACGCACGCACACACATCATTTCTTTCTTCAAAACATAGATTATGTATATTGTGTGTGTGTTTGGGGGAGGGGAGGACTCACCTTTTCCCCTAAATCACATAAATGATTCTCTTAATTGATCATGTGTTCTTCTACTTCTGTGTTCAGAGAATCAACCCCCCACCACACACACACACACACACACACACACACACACACACACAAGAAATGTGGGCTGTGAGCAGGGGTATGGGAAATAAACATCAGTGTCCACTAAAATTGTAACTCCTCGCTGGTGTCTCATTACTGTTACTCTTACAGTCAGGAGATGGGATGAATGGATGGATCAATGGTACAATAAGAAAACCAACTTAGTGTTGTACAACAAGGAGCCCCCCTAAATTTCCCTCTAACCAATTCTGTCGTCAGCACCCAAGGAAGCAAACACTTTTTCCTAGGCCATGTATTTTGTGTCTGTGGCCTGGCAGCTTTTCCATCTCCCATTTCCTCCCTTCAGATGAGTCATCAGTGTCACAGCAGCTGCTGCCACCCCTCCACCATGGCAAGAGACCCTCAGCTGCCACCACCATCCTGATCACCCCACAACTTCCACCCCCTACCCCCCTGAATTGTTTTCTCCCATATCTGTTCCTCAATCTCAATAACATGTCACTCATGTCATATTCTCCACCTGCAGCCCTATCTCTGGCCCCAAAATTTTGCTACATATCTCTTCCTCTGTATGTGTCAATCAATATTGACCCATTAACAATAACATAATAGTTGTCTCATTAGATTAATTACAAAAATTTACAGGTAGGGAAGAGATATCGGTTATGAACACACTAACATTTTGAAAGTAACTCTCTTTTACTGGAGGAAAAAAAAACCTCAAGTTTAAATAGTCTTCAAGAACACAGACGTCACAGAGGTGATCTACAGAATAAAGCCACTTTAGTAGCATTGGGAATCTGGAAGTACACACAAAAGATCACTACCTTGCAGGAACTCAGTCCCCGATTGGGTTTAAAATATAGTTTAGGGGCCAGCCGAGTGGCTCAGTTGGTTAAGAGCTTGCTCAAGAGTGCGAGCTCTGAGCAACAGGGTCATCAGTTCAATTCCCACATGGGCCAGTGAGCTGTGCTCAAGCTGAGCTGCTGCTGAACTGCCAATGGCTCAGCTGGTGAGAGCACATGCTCCTAACGACAAGGGTGCCTGTTCGAGATGGTGGGCTACGCCCGCCCACAGCTAAAGACTGAACTCGGCACCTTGAGCTGAGCTGGCACCCAGGTGGCTCAGGGGATAGAGCATGCACTCTTAACAACAAAGCTGACGGTTCGACTCCTGCATGGGATGGTGGCTACACCCACCCGCAACTAAGACTAAACTCAGCACCTTGAGCTGAGCGGCACGACTGGACTTGGAGCTGAGCTTGCTGTGCCCTCCACAACTAAGATTGAAGGACAACAACTTGGCTGTTCCCCTCCCCCAATTCCCTAATAAAATCTTTAAAAAAAAAAAAACCTAAAATAAACCCCTAGTTTAGGTTTGCTTACTTTCCCACTTTTACCCCTAGAAAGCTCAGGCTATCCTTTCTGGCCTCCAAACCTGCAGACACAACTGTCTCTCTGATAACGTTTCTTTCATGCACTCCAAGTGTCCAATGAAAGCTGCACCCCAAACTATTGTTTCTATTCTCTGCCCCTGTGATCAGAACATAACAAAAAGCCTCCCTTCCTTCGAGTCTGTCCTGTGTTGAATCCAAGCAAAGCAAAGCCAGCCTGGCAGGGGTTCAGACTGAGCTGGGCAGGGCCGCCATGTCCAGGGAACACCAATCACATCAGTAGCATCGTTATTATTCTAAAAATTGTATTTTTATTACAACTTTGATGATTTAAAGTAGGTAGTTTATTTAAATTGCAATTTCCCAGCATATGGCAATAGAGTGTCTTGCTCTAAAACTCAGTCTAGTTTGACAATTTTCCATTAGATGGAAGTTGAATGTCTGTGGAAGAGGTGACTTTGTCTAATTCACACAAAATGCCGTATGGGATAGCAACAGCCCTCAGAAAAGCTTCCTGCACATGTTTTCAGCTTTCTGGGGTCTTGGCTGTTCATGAAAGCTTCTACTCTTAGTTTACTAAACTCTGTTTACACCGCACTCACTCCCCCCCTAAAAAATATGCTCTTGTTCTCTCAGTAACTTCAGTTATCAAGACCATCTTCTACTCAGAGCAAGTCCCTAATGCTACTGCATCCTCTTGTCCTATTTCTGTCAATGGATATCACTAAACACATGTTAACAGGAACACAATAACCTTTTGTCGCAGTGGAAGATTAATTACCACTCAGAAAGAGATGTCCATTACAGACACACTCCACCAATTTAAAATCCTTAACAAAACTTGTTGTTTGAACTTGAGTCTCCATCAATGTCTGAATATATTCCTTACATTAAAAAAAAGCAAAATTAAATGAGACTTTTCTATGAGAATTCATTTTAATTTTAATTTGCTTGTTCCATGACTAATCTTTACAAAAACTTACCACCAGCTATTTACCTGGAGGACCAGGAAGTGTTGCACAACATTTAAGAGGCAATTACTGACCCAAGTCAAACAGAATAATAAATCAAATAGAAGCCCACATACACTCACCTGAATCCCAAAACAACAAGTTTTACTGCCATTGGTGACAATTTGCTCCAGTTGACAATCCAGGTGTGGAAACCTTAAAAAAAAAAAAAAGATACAGAAAAATTTAGATGAAAGGGAGAAGATTCAGAAAAGCATAAACAGTAATTTCATTATGATACTACTTCTCACTGAAAATTAAAGTTAAGCTCAGGAATTCTTGAATCTAAGCAGTAATTGTACCACAAATAAACTCTTCATAATTGGAGTTGTTTTGTAACTCACCATTTTTCCATTGACTGTGTCTAGGGTTTTAGAGATACTTAATCTTATTTTCAGATTAAACCTCAATGGATTACATGACTTCAATTTTCTGTTTTAATCCCTCAAGTCATTAATGATCTGAAAACTGATTCTTAAATACACCATATAAATGAAGTATCTTAAGGACTTAAGACTTGGCTTTTGTCAGGGGAAGAATACCTCTGATACATAAATAATCATGCCCATTTTGTAGATCTTAATTTTCCTAAATTGCACCAAATTTATATTCTGTGCTTCTTATTTTCTTCTAATTCAGAAGAAATTAAAAGCCAGAGGAACCATGAATCCTACAATATTAACAATATTAATACTAAATAAATCCTTAATAAAGTTGTATTTCAAAATAAAATCAGCAAAAATTACTTTCCTTTCTAAATTGTCCAGCAAGAAGATTAGTTGCTAGGTGGTAGAATTCCTCCCAAATGAATTCCTCCCAAATGCTACTGCAAGAGATACCACAGAAAACCTGCTATTATTAAATTGAGTCATAGAAAATTGCTGATACCCAACCATCTTTTACCTACAAAAATGACAATT